GCTCTTCCTTCTTTGCTTAGAGACTGTAGATCTCCTCTCCTCTTCTTTGCCCGCCTTTAATCACCAAATGCCTGTAACGTGCTTTGAAGTTGCCACCCACTGATCAGTGTGATTTTCCTTTGTAAGCGTTACTCCTGCTGTTAATTTTCCTCTCGGTGTGTGGGATGTTTAATGCTGTTGATGTATCATACTGCCTTTTCTTGCTTTAATCTCCAATTAGTCGGGCTAGATAATAAAATTTGTAAGTTTTGACACTGCAAACTTCTGGTATATGTTTATTCATTCGCCTTTTAATATATAGCCCTGGTCTGGGACTTTTTTAGCATTTGCTTAGTTTCTGAATATAATGAATTTTTCAACTATTTGTCATGCTACTGATGACAGCACCCCGGCACATGCAGTAAACTTCTTGGGTCAGTCTCTCGTTCAGGGAAAAATAGCGCTTGCTAGTGTCAGTACATTATCTCAGCTACGGGCGCATCCTCTTGGCCTTGCAGTTTCAAGCTATCTTTCCCTTCCCCATGATGTTGAAGACACACAGTCTGCTGTCGAAGCATCGGTATGGTCCTAAAGGTCTTTTTTGTTAATGGAAATCTTTCCAACAAATTTGCTGAGCTTTAAAGCAGGCTTCTTAAAAGGCCTGATAACTTGTCAATAAGATTAAATAGACCAGCAACATGGGAAAAAGTCATTGAAAGATGTGGAGATATAAGTCTAGCCCGAAGGATTCAGAAATACCGCCTAATTTAAACTAGAATTCTATTGAAATGTGGCAAATTTTAAGACATGAGATTCAGAAATGAAATATTTGCACTTTGTGATTTTTGAAAAATCCTCAGGAAGGAGAAAAGACTCCAACACATCTCTTCTAACATGAAAAAATCCAAACCCAGCATAATCTTGGGACTGCGGTAACGAACTATAAATCTAAAATTAATGATAAATCTAAAATTAATTATAAATCTAAAATCCTTGTTGGCTCATAACAGATACCAAGGTCTTTTCTGTCCTTACATGCAAGCCCCGTGGCTTCCTGCAAGGCAATTATGTTTTTCCTGTAGCTAAAGAATAAATTATCTCCGCGGCAGCAAAGTCGCCAGGTCCCATCACGCGCCCTGGCATCGTGCCCCTGAATTCTGCGCATGCTTTTCCCAGTGATTCAAACCCAAACGCCACTGGAAAAACCTCTGAGCATCTCTCGCAAAGCCTCTGCCACGGAGCGAGCGCACGGAAATACCTGTTGCACTCACAGCCCCGGGGCTGCCATGAGAGATGCTTTGCTGGTGTTTAAAAAATGCCTTGACCGTCCACAGAAATGCAAAGTGGAGCAGCTACACGGAAAATGAGTCAAAGCAGAAATGTCAGAAAGGTGGATATGGTGCTTGGCAAAGCCTGGAATTGTTAGTTCATGAGGTCAGCACGCCTCGGTGGCGTCCGCGTCCCAGACTCGCGGCGCGTAAAAGGGCTTTCAGTGTCGTACGCGCTCACTTGACCGAGGTGCTCCTCGCTTGGAAGGGAATTAATTCATTTCAATAGGGGAACGTCCATCCCAGCCACAGCCCGACGTGGTCCACCCCTGTCCATAGGGATCCTCTATTCAAAGCTCGCGCCTTCCAGTCATCCATACTACACACAGGGCAACAACATCCGCCGTCCATCACGGTCCTGATGTCACCCTTGGTGCCCTCGCCATCCCTCCCGCTGTCCGGTTCCTCTGTGCTCTGGAAGGCGGTGAGTACCACCTGCAGATTATCACAGACCTTCTCTGACAAGCAAGGTCCAACCTGCAGCCCCATCCGCAAAGCCAGCTGGAAAACCTCCCAAGTTTTCTAACACAAAATGTCAAGTTTGCAGTAACACATCAAAAGCCAAAGATGTTTCAAATGGAAGCTTACGAAAGAAAAAAAAAATCCTGATTGATTGATAACGTTTTCAGCATCAGAAGATGGGTTTGTCTGGCAGAAATTGCAGGTTTTAAAGAAATAATTGTACTCTTTGCACTTTTTTAGATGCCTTCTGCAGCTTCAGTGCTAGGGTACTCCATGAAGAAAGGTCATCTTATCAGGAAAATGTTGTTAATTAAAACCTGATGTCTGTTTTTAAAGAACAGACGCATTAAAGTGTAAGTTTCAGATGATGTTTTTTCTGAATTTTGCTAATCCAGAATTCAGAATTTTTTATATATAGTAAACAAAAGTCCACTTGGAGTCCAACTTCAAGAAATAAAATTGCAGTTTCACGAAGTTAGCATAACGAAAAGAGGTTTTCCCACTTTTAATTATATTCAAGTGGAGATGATAACTGTGTGTAGCCCCTGTTCCATCACAGGGCACCTCCAGCCGCAGACCATGGTACCGTGGCACAACGCGTGGAGCAGGGCGTGAAGAGGCAGTAAAAGCGCCTCATCTCTGCTGAGTATCAAGCTGGATTTCCAGCTGTGGCTAAAACCCCCAGGCAGCAGTTTGGGGGAAAAACCCAGCTCCATGGAGCCCACCACAAACACAACGATTCCTGGTTTGGAGTTGGTCAGGGTGATGTTAAGCTGAAATAGAGTTGAAAAATCCATCACTTCTTACTGAAAACAGAATTTCACTGGTTTTCCAATTTTTCCTTCTTTAAAAAAAATTGCACTTTATTTTGGCAGGAAGCTTGCTTGTTTTCAATGATAGGTTTTTCTCTGTTTTCTTTCAGCCCCATGAAAAACCATTGTCATTTGTGTACCTCTGCTCCAACACCCTGTTTCAAGGCTTGAGCCATTGGGCGCCCAGACATGGGACTGGACACCAGGCCTCCTGGGGCTTTTTGTGGTTTTCCCACTGCCACGAGAGACTCCTTTTGGGCACATCACTCAGCATCACGGTATTCCAGGTATCCTTATCCCAGGATCCCATCTGACTAACATTAGGTAACAGCGTATTTGAACACGACCGATGGGAGAACTAATTAGATAATGGCCACCGCATATGCAAAGAGCTAAGCTGACATTACATCAAGGGAGATGCTAATTGCAGCTGATTAATCCAACAGCAAGTGCCAGAAAAAATACACATACAGAAGTGGCACTCACTGCTCAGCTATTAATTCCCATGGCATGCCTCATTTCTAAGAGAGCTTGGCCTCATATAAAAGCTTTTGGTCCCAGCGCTGTCCTCAGGACTCAGACACCCTGCTCAGCCCGTCCATCCCCGGTCCCAGGGTGAGTTGGATTCTCTCAGCTGTCTCGGATTCCTCATTTTTATTTCATAGAAACAGCAAAAAAAAAGAAGTCGGTGGGTTTTTTCTTTTTCCCAGACTGTTTATCCCCGAGGGCTTGGCCGTCTCTGCCACAGGATGCACTACCATAAAGGCGACGGCGACCAGGACTTGTGCCACGACGGCTCGGTCTGCGGCGAGAAGGGCTGTCCGTGGCACGGTTCCACG